CTGTTTACAATGACAGAGCCATCTCGTTTACAAGCATGTTTTAAGGCTTAATTCCTGTTACACTTATGCTCCATGGGGATTTAGATTAAACTGCATAAAGGAAAATCTATTTCTTTGTCAGTTGTAGTTTGTTTTTAAATAGAAAAAAATAGATCGATTAAAATCGAAAATCGGATTTGGTGTGAAAAAATCGGAGATTTTTTTTTTTTTGCCATATCGCCCAGCCCTACGTCACACCCCTATTATTTATCATGGCATATTTCTTACTAGTGACAAAGTAAGTGCATTTACAATAATACATAATGATAATGAATACAATTTGAATTATTAAAAGTTATATAGGAGGATTTTCTACTTCCGGGTGGATCATCAAGACGATTGGTCCTAACAATTATCAATCATTCTGGTGATACGTGCTCGTGTCAAATAAGACCAGAGAGTTTAGTACAATAATTGGAGATGGCGGTTCTTTCCTCAAATTTGGGGAAATCCTCTTTAAGTATACCTTTAAGTATATTATTTGATTTGTACATCTCTAAATCCTTTGGCGAGCTACCTGGAAGGGGGTGTCGAGCTACAGGTGGCTCCTGAGCTACTGGTTGGAGACCCCTGCCATAATAGTCTCACATCCACATTTTTTCTTTTAAGAAATGTTGACATGGTTGATGCAGTCGACCCATCAGAGGCAGGAGCAGCTGAGTTCTGTCTCTGACCACAGACTGTTCCTCTGCCACGCCTCCATCCACCAACACGCTGACTGACAGACCAGGGCTGCACATGGTTCTCCCTGTACCAGGAGCGGCCTCAGCACAATCCAACTGCACTCCCAGTCCCTTTGATGCACACTCACAAGGGATGCGACGTCACTTCAACATTAAACTCCACTGAGCTTACAGCAGCTAACGTCTGTGATTAATGATAACAAACATTAAGGTTGGATCTACTTTTGTGAGTTTGTAACCTTTATTCATCATGACACCATAAATCGCTGATCACCAAGTGCTTTTAAAGACCATGAAGTTCAAGTCAGAAACATCAATATTTGGTCCAATTACCTCAAAGGTGCGTATATAGGAGGATTTTCTACTTCCAAATCATGAAGACTATTGGTCCTCCTAATTGTCAATCATTCTGGTGATACGCGCTCGTCACAATATAGCCCGGTCTTATCCATCCGTTAACTCTGGTCCATGATCATTTCCTACTTCTACGTCTGGGTCCGATCCTAGTGGCTGCAGTTTCCTTGGTTGAATCCCCTCCGACCAATCAGCGAGCGGGGAAGCAGATGTTTGTAGGTAGATGTCGGTGATGGCAAGACTTTGCGCTGAATTTGTGGATTGTAGTTTGGCAATGGCAGAGAATGTGGTGGTTAAGTAATCCGTTGTGGTTCGGCTCCAACTATCAAAAAATTTAAGCCGGAGAAAGAGGAATGTTTTGTAAAATGTCATTGCGGCAAAGATGTTATGGCTCTACACCCCACGGGCTCTGTTAGTGACAAAGGAGATGGCTAAAGCTAGGCTAAAGGCTAAATTTAGGCGCATTACATACGTCACAGTAAACTCAGATCCAATCGTTTCAATCTGCAAAAGGAGTTAACCCCTCCCACCTGTTAACGGAGCTCAATGGAGCAAATCCAGACCAGAAAAGACCAGCGAGAACCACCCTCTCCAAAAAGTGGAGAGGGCGGTTCTTTCCTAAAATTTGGGAGAACTTTGCTATATACCTATAATGTGGAATGTTTAAGAAGCAACTATAAAAACTGTCAACAAATGAGGAATAGTTAAATCACACGCCACATATATTCATGGACGTCGGAACTATTTTCTGAGAGGGGGGGCGGGTTTTTGTTGGGAGAGTCGAGGGAGAGACTCATACTTGGATTACACTGGATAATAACATACCATCTTAATTGTTAAGAAAAACAAAAAAATAAACAATATATATCAAGCAAGTCACTTATCAAACTGAACTTTTTTTTTTTTCAATACGCATTCATGCGTCAGTCTCTCCGGTGGCTTCATTGTGTTGTGTAGCCCAGTGACGTGCGGTCAGATGAGGCAGGTAAGGCCCTCACCTAAGATCATAGAAAGAAAAGTAATATAATGGATACAATAACGTTTGGTCACTTTATCAAGTGATTTGTGCTGTGCCTTATTTAATTTATTTATACCTTGAAATCGCAGATTTGACAGAGCGGCGCTGTGAGGCAAGCCTCTCTTGGGAGACGTAAAAAGCAACAGCTCACAGGGAGAGTCCTGTGAGGTGCTATCAAACTGTTTTCTCTGTTTATCACAGTTTAAAAAGTTCAAAAATATTTAATTTACAATCAACATGTTTACATTTAAGAGGATGGCTCATAAATTGTGTTTTTGAAGCAAATACGGGTCTTAATCGCGCTCAACCACAGCTTGTAAGTGAGGAAAGCCTCAAGTGGGCGCTTGTGAGCCCAAACGTTGGCTGCATCCAATTCCATCAGAAAGCTCCTTTCTTGTTCTTTTCTGCTAAGGGCAGCTACAGGTTTGGCTAACATACCTATAATACATTTTAAGATAATTTAAAATGCACTTAGAGTAATGTTTTGCTTCCAATGATGATATGAATCATAAGAAAAGGAGGTGAAGGGTAAGGTTGAATTTAGAAATTGGATTTACCCGGGAGTCGGCTGCAGCAAAACTCGCAGTTTACGGAGGAGACACCCGTTTTTTTTACTTTTTAAAACTCATTGAACTTATTTCCAAATGGAGGATTACATGTCTGTGCTCAAACTATTATCTGGACTTAAACATGAAACTGGTCCTAACTGAAGTGGTCTGTGCTGTTCATTAATACCTAAGGTATAGGCCCATAACACACTTTGTACTTTTTACAAACGTTTGCGTTTTTTATGAGAAAACTATGCAGACATTAAATAATATTCTGCTGTAGCCAAACAAATTGTGTATAAGCCGCTCCTGTTCCTGTAGGTCCTGTTGGTTTATATGATGTATAATCATATGAACACATGATTGATCCCCCACCGCACGTCACTGGTGTAGCCAGGTCTCTAATCTGCGCAAGGCTGAGAAAGAGCGCTCAGAGGCTGCGACAGATATTAGCCAGACAGAGCTTCATAAGCACCTCCGACAGCATGGAGCGGGTTTTGGGCTGCAAGGAACGCAGGATAGTGATAACTTCTCGCTCCCGGCACACGCGGAGGGGGTGCGGCCGCACCCCCCGCACCCCTAGTTCCGACGTCTATGCACATATTCAGCAATGTATCTGTTGATTTTATGAGCACTTGCGCAAAAAAATTGTCAAAAGCTTGTGAGGTTCTTAGAGCGGACGGGACTGTTGTATCTGTGTAGTGGTAGTGAGCAGAGAAGTCATAGGGACAGGAGAGGTCACTGTCCACAGAGCTGCATTTCATCACAAGGATAATGACACAGTGGCCGTTAAACATGAGGATTAAGAAGTGAATAAACATTAGACATGATGGACAACAAACACATGTGCACCAGGGTAAAGACAGGGAGAAAATTAAGAAGGGCAGGAAAAAAAAAGACAGAGGAAGAATTACAAAAGCAGCTGAATTCAGACATGGCTGCATTTGTCTGGATTGAGAGACGTGGTTCTGTGCCACCGAGTCCTCCCCATAATCTCATCAAATTCCTTCCTGCAGACATCATGCAATATTTATACCGAGGTCGAATCAGCAAATCTTATGCTAATCAAATGTATAGTAAGTATAATAATGCATCTGTCACCGGTCTAACTGTACAATCATGCAGCTACAACATATTCATTCAAACATGCCAATAAAAAAACAAAAACCTTAATGCAATATTTGTCTAGAGTCTTTCTGCAAAAGAACTAAAGTGAAAGTTCAGACTGGAAGAGTGATACTGAGCTGGTCGTGGCCTTATGTCACTGAGCCGCGAGGTTTGTGTTTCCTGATCGCACTCAAGAATATACACAAACGTATGTGTGTTTCCATGTGCTTAATAACACTGTCATAATACTACCTGCACAGACAACCCTGCTTCACTGATTACCTGTCTTAAATATACAATAGTTAAGGCAGAGAGTCTGATCCATGCAATTGTATCGAGTAGGTTAGAGTACTGCAACAGCTGCTCAAAGGTTTCTCCAAACAAGTTGTAAAAACAGCTGCAATATATTCAAAACACTGCAGCGCGAGTCCTGTCTGGAACCAGGAAGTAAGATCACATTAGTCCTGGACTCAGACCTCTGCACTGGCTTCCTGTGGCTCAGAAAATAGACTTTAAAGCAGCTCTGTTTGTTACAAGTCTCTCCATGGCCTCGCACCAAAGTACATCTGTGACATGTTAGTACCATATGAAGCAACTCTGACTCTGAGGAGCACAGGGACTGGACTCCTGCTGGTCCCAGAGTAAAGACTAGAGCAGCGTGGAGGCAGGGTTATAGATTCATGCAGCTAAGAACAATCTTCCTGAAAAGAAATGAGAGGCTGGATTCTTCTCTGACCAAGTTCAATCCCAGGTCTAAAAAGTCCTGTTTTCTCTGCTACAACTGAAGGATTGTATATCTTTACTCTTTTAATGCACTGTGATTATTCATTATTCATTGTAATGCCTTATCTGGTTGCTTCTATCTTGTTTTGTTTTATTCAGTACTTTGAGGGGCCTTAATTGTATATGAACCATAGATGAACTGTGCTATACAAATAAACATGCCAGTGACACCTAGAGGCTGGAGGCACATCTTAACTCACTAAACATCAGTCCAACACGGCCTTTGCCATAAATCCCGCACATTTCATCTATGGCCAAAATACGTTACGTTAGTAGTATGGCGTCTCGGTAAAGTACACACAGGCGCATTAGCAGAGGTCGGCAGGAAGGATGCTGCTGGATTGGTGCAATTACTATGAGAGGATTGTAAACACAAACCACAGCTGCAGTCTGCACGGCTCAGACTGCTCCTCATAAAAAGAACAAAACACAAAGAAAGAAAATCAAAGGCAGAACTCCTTCACCAACCTGCCCCATGCGCAGAACACGTCTCCAAGATCAGCAAACAGCCGCGCGTCATCCACAAGCAAATCCCCATCTTTACCGTGCGCATAGTCCGATCCATTTTGTCCTGAAGCCTTCACTACAATCGTGGATAGTGTTTGGGTAATGTTTTGGAGGACGTGGACCGCGTTAGCTCCACTGACGGCCCGTGCGTAAAAGCAGCCTAGGCCCGCCGGGTGAACGCGGGGATCATTGTGCCTGCCTTGTGCACGGAAGGAGCAGTATCCATTCAGCGGAGAGAACCCCCTCGGTCCTCCATCGGTCCGGGACAGCGCGGTGACAGCTGAGAAGTTTTTGCTTGTGAGAGAGTTCGCAGTGCACACGCCCCTCAGATGGGAGGACTTAAAACAATGGGTCTTCTTTTTTTTTCTTTTTTTCCCCAGAGAGCAGACTTTAGCGGTGGGAGAAATGTTTTGTAACTAGAAGCGCAGATGCTGGAAATAATCTGTTGCTTACTCAAGATGTAAAGGCCGATATCACACGCAGGAGTTTAAAGCTGGGGTCCCAAACTTTCAAACTGCTGCAGAATGTAACGAAATACATGTAATCTCGTTCCTTGCTTTATCATTTCTTACATGTATTTCTGGCCTTCGTCACATCTATAGATCAGATTTTCAGGCTAAAAAGTGAAAAAATTGCCAATAAACTCTCAGCTCCACGCATCCGACAATGTATGTCCAAAGTAAGGCCCGCGGGCTAAATGCGGCCCTCTGTGTCATAATATATGGCCCTCTGCCTTGCTAACTTAAAGTAGACTTTGAGATCATAACAAGTTCCCAGTGTCATCCAGCCAGCTTCACCTCTACCAATGTAGGCATGTTGTACCTTGTTGCAAAGTTAAAAACATTTGGAATCCAGTTGTTTACGTTATTTGTATAGACATCTATTTGTTTTTGATTGTGTCACAAAAGTCCATATACAGCACAAATGAAGCTGAGGTGAGATAGTTGGCGCTAGCAAACTTCTGTCCAATGTGAATCAATATTAACATAAAAGATCATTTAAAGGACAGAACAGCCCAAATACGGTAAAAAAAAAAACAGTTTGCAAATCTGGGTTGTCGGCTCCTGGACAAGTGAAATAAACTGATGCTCTGACTAGAAAGGTTTGGACACCCCTGGCTTATCTACAAAAGACACACAAAAAAAACAAAAACAAAACTTTCTTTTGGGCTTTTGTTATTTTGTTACAGTACATATATTGTCATCATGTACTATTGTTTTTGATACTTAGCTAAAAATAGAACATCATAACTATACTACACTTCACTGCCAGACTTCTTTTTTGGAGTAAAATGTCAAAATATTTAGTTACACAGTTATTGACTACAGACAAAACCTCAAGTAATCTTGGTGAGGAATAAATATAATAATTTTAATCGGTTGAAATCATTCTCTAAAATGAACACAAGACTTTTATTTTCACTGCATTAAGTTCTTGAAGGAAAAAACCACTGATTGCTAACTTGATTGGCAGCCTGCAGGGCCTTTGACCAGGTTCACAGCAACGTCCTGTAAAGAGGCAGAGCTCGGAGCCATACGGCAGGACTCGATATGGCAGTTCACAGACCTGTCTCTTTTAGATGTGATTTGTTTTATGCCTTGTGTATATATTGTGCTATACAAATAAACTTGCCTTGCCTATAAGCTTTATTATAATGACTAGAATATGTATCGGTTTTTAAAGAAAGTGGGGGATTAAAAAGAGGTTAAAAATCACCCTACATGTTTACGGCTTGTAAGGTTCTTTTTAGACATGGGTGATCTGGCTCGCAAATTAATTTCCTTAGCCCCAGGGATGAATATTTAATTAGTATTAGAACCGGCCGCTCAGAGCCATAAGAAAATATTGGATTATTCATTTAATGTTCAGGACGAGTGTTTTCTCTTTGAAGGAAGTTTGCTTTTGTCTGTGAGCTGTGTAGACATGTTTTCACTTGAAATGACTGACAGAGCCATGCAAAAATATTGGATTATTCATTTAATCATTGAATAAAACACAGTCCACTATGTTAGATACTAGTGCTCATGTTTGGGAGGCAGACTTCCACCTGGTTTCTGGACGAGTGAGTACCAAGTCTGAGCCAATGAAGGCCCCCTCGACTCTGTTAATGGTCCATGTGCCCCACTTCCTTATTTCAATTTGCGTTTGAATCAATATTCTGTATTTATGTTCTTCCGTCCCTGCCATCTTTTCATTGACCCAGTGCATTTTAGAATATTCTCTGGGAAATGGAGAAAATGGCGCATGACGTTTGTTTTGACCAGTGGGGGCGGGTCCCGACGGACACACAACGACAGCAGACATCAGTGGGAGTCATTGGAGAAGGTCTCAAGAAGGGCTCAAACCCACAACCTTCAGGCTCAAAGGCCAATGCTATACCAACAGAGCTACTGTGGCCTCAGATCCAGGACCTGATTTAAAGGAGAAAGCAAAAGAAGAACAAAATGAATGATGTATATTTGGTGCCTATACTTTCACATCATACAACTTGAAAATCTAAAGTTAATATTCTGTTCAAGCAACATATTTGTTTTTTAACTCTTTAAGCGCCCAAAGTATACTGAAGAATCAACTCCCGAATCCAGGATACTTTTTGAATGATTATGTATCTATTTCTGTCGTTTATATGAATGGTCCTCTCTCTTCCTTCAGGGCGGCACATCTTGTTTGTTTCATGTAAAATTTCTGAAAAACTCTGGTGCTGAAAGGTTTGACTGTTGCCCTGAGTTACCGGGATTGTAAGCGAGACGGATTGGTTGAAATGCAAGACTGTTGAAGAAAGCGGAACCAGAGCCAGACCCACTTGGCACGAGTCTCGTACAGAGACAGGGTCCTTGGGTCTGTCCCGGGTCACACCAGGGCTCCGTCTGCAGATGCATTCAAGGGAAATCAGAGACGCCGCTTCTGTGCACAAACAGAGAGAGCGGTGGAAACTGCAGACTTTTGCACTGAATCACTGTTTTCAGAACGACTTGAGACTCAATTCAAAGTGTTTACGTAAAGCTAGGGACCACAACTTTGAAACCACACAGAAAATTAACTATAATTAAAATAAATAATACAATCTAAAAACTAACACCTCGCCCTCAACACATTTTGTATTTATACTACTCTTCACATGGATATGTTCAGCCTCTGTCACAGCTTAGACAGAAAAGTTAGAAAAGTTAGAGGCCGACATCAGCTCTCAGCTCAAAGAGAGCAGTGACAGGGTTCTTCTTACTGAGCTTTAACTCTGAGGTCTGATGGAACATGGAGCACATGGAGCATTTCTGATCAATATCATTGGTTGTTTTTTTCAACCAATGCTTTTAGTTTGTAGATTCAATCAAATATAAATACATTATTGTCAACAATAAATACAAATAAAACTATTCGGTAAAAACCTGGAGGGACATTTGGGTCAAATTAATCAGCAAACAGAGATAAAATAATAAAATAAAATTGGCTGTGTTTTAAAAAACGATACAAGCAAATCCTATACTTCTCTAAGAAGGACATACTGTATATTTATCTTTACATAATCATCCTTTTACTAAAACAGGCCTATGTTATCCACTAGTTTAGTGGAGACTTTATATTGTAGTTCTGTATTTCTAGTTTCAGTTTCCTCTTTCCCTGTGTATTGTGTCGGGCTGCTGTCGCCCTCTGCTGGGGTCAAAGTGACACTTCTGAGACACGCTCACATCTGGATAAGTGAGTGGAGCAGTGTGTGCAGATGTGGATCTGATCCTGACCTCCGCAGTTACAGAGGTGAAAGCGCAGGACAAAGCTGCTCTCAGAACTGAACACTTTCTGTCAGTAGACGCGCGGTAGACGCGCGCTTTTACGCACAGTACCGCGCGCTTGGCCCCTGTGCGCGTGTCACCCGTGCGTTCTGACAGCTGACCAATCCGCGCACAGCTCATGTTTGACAGTGGTTTATAAAAGCAGCAGCAGCATCATGTGTCACTCACACGGAGCATCTCTGTGCGTAAAGTGAGCGTCCTTCTGCTGACCGCGCCGCACAGGCGAGTGCTCGTGGATATGGAGGATCCTGCAAGGTCCCTGAGCGCGCTCCTGAACAACTCTGAGCAAGACCAGGGCTTTGATGACATCGATGTGAGCGCAGACGGCAGCTCCATCCTGCGCATCTGCATCTGTGTGGTGTACAGCGTGGTGTGCGCTGTGGGGCTCCTGGGGAACCTGCTGGTCTTCTACCTCATGAGGCTGCGCCAGGGCCGCAAGAAGTCCACCATCAACACCTTCATCCTGAACCTGGCCGTCACGGACTTCCAGTTCGTGCTGACACTGCCCTTCTGGGCCGTGGACACGGCGCTGGACTTCAGCTGGCCGTTTGGAGACGCCATGTGTAGGATCATCCTGTCCGTGACCGTTATGAACATGTACGCCAGCGTCTTCTTCCTCACGGCCATGAGCGTCACCCGGTACCTGTCCGTGTCCTCTGCGCTGAAGAGGCGCACGTGCCGGCGCGCGCACTGCGTGTACGTGGTGTGCGCGGTGCTGTGGCTGTGCGCCACGGTGGCCACGGCGCCCACCGTGCTCTTCTCCACGGTGCGGGTGGTCACGGGAGAGAAGCTGTGTCTGCTGCGCTTCCCGGAGGGCTTTGATTGGCTCGCGCTTTACCACATCCAGAAGATCCTCGTGGGCTTCGTGCTGCCCACGCTCATCGTGTGCGCGAGCTACGTACTGCTGCTGAGGTACGTGCGCCGTCGCAGCATGAGCAGCGCGAACCCGCGGCGCCGCTCGCGCGTCACTCGCTCCGTGGCCATCGTGGTGTTGTCGTTCTTCTGCTGCTGGATGCCGAACCACGCCATCACGCTGTGGGGGGTCCTGGTCAAACTCAACCTGGTGAACTGGGACAAGTCCTACTACCTTGTGCACACGTACGTGTTCCCTGTGACCGTGTGCCTCGCGCACACCAACAGCTGCCTGAACCCGCTGCTTTACTGCCTCATGCGGCCGGAGATCCGCAACATGCTTCGGGGCAAGTTCTGGAAAGTGTCCACGGTCAGCAACAAGCCCGGGCCCACGCGCTCTGCCACCCACGTGCACGCGCCCACCACTGGGGACGAGTGTGCACGTGCGCACACGCACCACTCCCCGTTCATGGTCTCCACGGCACTCTGTGACACTGTGCACGCGCAGACCTGACCTGGGACAGTCTCATTCTGCTGAAGTTGTCACTGTGTGTGTCTGTGATGTTTGTGTGGTGCTTTCAGCAGATCCTGGTCCTTCTGCTCAGGCTCTCACAGACTCTGCTGTTTGCAGATGTAGTTTTGTCATCTTCAACAAACCAGAACCTTCTACTTGCACTTGGACGGTTAGAGCCGAGAACAGGTTCAGCGACTGCGGATGAAAGTCAGTCTCAGGAGTCCTGTCCCAGGTCTTGGTCTCAGACAGAGGAGGATTATCAGAGGACTGGTCTGATTCAGGAGATCGACATGAGTTTCCTCCAGAGCTGGGAACTCCCTTCAAGGTTATGTCTGCGACTTCAATCGTCTTTTTTTAAATATGCATTTGAAAAGAATACATGTTTGTGACTACATGAGGCTGAAGTATCATCTGTAATAGTATTTTTCATTATTTTAAACACTCTAGTCTGGAACAAGCATCTGGCATTACCTGAAGGAGAACAGTTTTACCAATGGGGAGGGGCCTCAGCTGTAGATCAAGGATCTGAAGTCAGTGAGGCAGGTCTAACTGGTGCTTTCATTCACAATTTGAAACTGACTTTAACGTAAAGGCCAAGAAACAGCGACCTGACGGCTGGTCTGCAGGAGTCTGTAACCCATAATGATGAAAGAGCCACATTGGACCAAAAAAATAAAAAACATTCTGACTGTTTGGAGTGGTAAAAAATCAATACTTGTTTGTTATGTTTATTTTCCTGCAGCACGTCCTGGAGAGACACGTGCAACAAACTGCGGTTACTTGTCTTGTTGCATTCCTGAGACTGGCAGAATGTGAGTGGCAGAGGTTGGCGGTGACGTTTTCTTATTGTTATTAAAGAGTGGACACGGCCGGTGTTGTGTCGAGTTGGTCTGCCCGTCGAGATGATCTCCCTCAGCTGGTTATGATGTAATGCAAACCAGCGCATGTGCCTCTCACGGTCGCCGACGCAAACCAAGATGGCGGACATGAAGTCCGCGAATTGCTTTAAAAGTTAAAATACGAACAAATTAAGGCCAGATGTTGATAGTTCCGTGTTGTGATATGTGGGTTTTAAGAGTAAGAGTTTCGTGTAAAATTTGCTGCTCCTGTGAAACCACACTACTGTGTGACAGCAGTCATATTGACTACTGTGAAACCACACTGCTGCTGTAACCCAAATCTGACTTGCGCATGCGCAGAAACCCGACAGGATGGGGAAAAAGCTCGATCTAATTAAATATTTTGTTTGAACACACAATTGTTAATCAAATTGAATACAATATGATACTGCCTGCCTGGCATACTGCACTGTCCACCATAGAAAATTGTGAATATTTCAGTACTTATTGTGACACAAAGCAATGAGAAATAATTTAGCATGTCTTTTTAAAAGCTTGTTCACTACACTCATGTTATAATTAATAACAAAAACTACCTGTCAAAGTGTATTAATCCTACAAAATCTTAGCTCATTGCTTTAATCTGCAAAAAACGGCTTGTTTTTACCTTTTAGAGTTCTTGAGCAATCTGTCATAGAATATAATACATAGTGTGATCCAAAACACTGCTCCCGCCCGGAGCCAAACACGGGCCATTGCGACGCAAGCGCAGTGACGTAACCACCAGACCACCTATACATTCAATACATCACCTGCCCCAGGGTTTTAAACTGTTAATGACGAACGTGGCAAGTTTTGCTTCGGACAAAAACATGTATCCGCCAACTCGTCACTGTAGGTAGCTGTTGTAGCCAAGTTGACCGCTTGCGTCAAATCATTCGGCCCTCGGGGGCCCCCTGCCGGTTTGGGGGCCCAAGGCAGCTGCTTAAAACCCACATGTCACAACACGGAACCATCAACATCTGGCCTCAAATTGCATTAAGAGTGACATTTTTGTCTTAATTTGTTCGTGTTTTAACCCTCTATGGCATGACTTTTTATTTTAGGGGGAAAAAAATATTTCAACACACTTTTTAAGAGCTCGTGGGTCCCTAATAACATATTGATCTTTACATTTGACCCCCCCCACCCCCCCAATCAGATAATGGTTTGTTGCTTAAGGGCAACATTGTGCGACGAGGGTACTAAAACACCAAGGTTTTCAATATTACATTGAATTAGGAAAATAATAAAACAAATACATAAGAGAAGCTTTTATTCTTTTATTTTTCAAGCTCAACTTTTTTAAACGGGTACAGAGCACTCCAGATTGCAAAAACAAAAGCAAAAACAGTTCTGAGCCTCTAGTAAGTCACACAGCTGCGGGTCTCGGTAGCCTATTGTGTATGGAACAGCAAGAAGCAGTTGCTAGTTGCTGAGACCAGGACTAATGTGAGAGGACTTCAGGACAGAGACCTGAGACCAGGACTAATGTGAGAGGACTTCAGGACAGAGACCTGAGACCAGGACTAATGTGAGAGGACTTCAGGACAGAGACCTGAGACCAGGACTAATGTGAGAGGACTTCAGGACAGAGACCTGAGACCAGGACTAATGTGAGAGGACTTCAGGACAGATACCTGAGACCAGGACTAATGTGAGAGGACTTCAGGACAGAGACCTGAGACCAGGACTAATGTGAGAGGACTTCAGGACAGAGACCTGAGACCAGGACTAATGTGAGAGGACTTCAGGACAGAGACCTGAGACCAGGACTAATGTGAGAGGACTTCAGGACAGAGACCTGAGACCAGGACTAATGTGAGAGGACTTCAGGACAGAGACCTGAGACCTGGACTAATGTGAGAGGACTTCAGGACAGAGACCTGGAGACCAGGACTAATGTGAGAGGACTTCAGGACAGAGACCTGAGACCAGGACTAATGTGAGAGGACTTCAGGACAGAGACCTGAGACCAGGACTAATGTGAGAGGACTTCAGGACAGAGACCTGAGACCAGGACTAATGTGAGAGGACTTCAGGACAGAGACCTGAGACCTGGACTAATGTGAGAGGACTTCAGGACAGAGACCTGAGACCAGGACTAATGTGAGAGGACTTCAGGACAGAGACCTGAGACCTGGACTAATGTGAGAGGACTTCAGGACAGAGACCTGAGACCAGGACTAATGTGGGAGGACTTCAGGACAGAGACCTGAGACCAGGACTAATGTGAGAGGACTTCAGGACAGAGACCTGAGACCAGGACTAATGTGAGAGGACTTCAGGACAGAGACCTGAGACCAGGACTAATGTGAGAGGACTTCAGGACAGAGACCTGAGACCAGGACTAATGTGAGAGGACTTCAGGACAGAGACCTGAGACCAGGACTAATGTGAGAGGACTTCAGGACAGAGACCTGAGACCAGGACTAATGTGAGAGGACTTCAGGACAGAGACCTGAGACCTGGACTAATGTGAGAGGACTTCAGGACAGAGACCTGAGACCAGGACTATCGATTGGAATGTCCCTAACTCCTTCATTCTTGGACCCGTAAAACGTTATTGCATCCATTTCCTACAAGCAATAGTAGATGAATCAGAATGGAAGATAGAACAGCAAAAAACATTGAGTGTGGTGTTGATTATCCATTCAAGCACATCCCCAACCAGCAGCATTACACTGCCCAAACAAAAGTGCTACAACTGCATGATGTTGCCTTGAGGCAACAAACCTAAACGTGCAGTTTTTGTATATAAATGGAAACAAAAAACATATATTAACAATCAAATATGCTTCTTAACATATTCATGCACAGTCACATATTTATTTTATCAAGTTTTTCGAATTTAAACATGTAGAAAAGTTATATTTATCCTACCTTTTTCTGGCACTGTGTCACTTGTGACTCTGCTTCCTGAAAGGACTGCTCCACCCCCAGACAATTGCCCCCACCTACTTCAGAACTTGATTTAATTGGACAGAAACATGTCTAGTAATTTTATAAATAAAAAAATAAAATAAAAACATTAAAGGGCCAGTGTAAGAGCCAAAAGATTGGTTTGTTGCCCGAGGGCAACAGTATGCCATAGAGGGTTAACTTTTAAAGCAATTCGCGGACTTCATGTCCGCCATCTTGGTTTGCTTCGGCTGCCGTGAGACGCGCATGCGCAGGTTTGCATAACATCATAAACAGCTGAGGGAGATCAATCTACCGGCAGACCAACTCCACAGAACACCGGCAGTTTTTGACCCGCCTGAAAAAGCTACAGGGAAAAGGAAAGAGTTGGGAGAGAGCATGTGACAGGGTAGTCAGTGACACAGGAGGAGCTCGGAGTAGAGCTTATATCATTCATACTCAACACGACAAACCTGCTCAGGTCATAAGGCTCACACATAGTTCAGGGTCTAGAGCTACTTTTATGAAACAGAAATGACGGAGAGTCATACTCCTTTAACAGTCCTAGTACCATTGCACTGTCTAAAATAACTCCTGACAATCAGTACCACAGTACTGCACAATCTCCCTGCTTCAAAGTAAAGATTAAGAGTTAGAGGAGCCACAGGTTGGGAACCCCTGATCTGGCTGTGTCGATGGATGAACATGCTTTCATTCTATCGCAAAAATCTATTGCTGTTTTAGATGCAACATTATTTATATGCAGCTTTGCTCACATTTACCTCACATTTAAAGACGCTAGCTGCAGGTGAAAGCCAGATCTGGTTAGACCTAAGCTAAGCAGGACAGCGCCCGGTTAGTTCTGTGATGGGAGACCTCTGGCACCAGGTGCCACAGTGGGGCAGCTGCGGCTGCAAAAAGCCAAACTGCTGCTGTGTCCTGAGGCAAAACATCTAACACCCATTGCGTAATAAGAGACGCGTGTCAGTGTGTGTGAATGGTGGGCAGTGGTTAGAGGGGCAGGAGATAGACTGGTCGCCTTGCTTCTGTCTGCCCCAGGGCAGCTGTGGCTACAATAGTAGTTTATCACGACTGTGAATGCAGCGAATGAAAAAGACTGTGAAACGTCTTTGAGTGTCTAAAAGCTCTATCTGAAACCAATGCATTATTTATTTGTTTTAGTATTTCTTTCTAAAGCACATCTGTGTCTGGGACTATGACTCTGAAGATCACTGGAACTTTCACTTTAACAAAATGTCCGATCTACAAAATGTAAAGTTTTTGAAATTTCAAAAATGTAATTACATTGAAATATTGGTCAAATTTAAATCTCTGGTGCCTCTTTCACTTTTGAATCTTTTGTTATATAAATGAACTGTTGTATTGTTGTGTGTATTGTGTTGAAACAGGGCCTTCATGAAGCAGAGTCTGGAACTCTCACTGTAAAAATAAAGAAACATGAAAAACACAGATTTGGACTGTATTTAAATGAACACGGTTTGCAACACGACTTAAGGCATTTCTCATTAAACATTAGGCACAAGTCTCGTCTTGTCCATCATAGTTTTCAACTAAACATAGATAAAGTTTTACACAGCTACGAAGGACTGTGTTCAAGTGATAAACCCAAGAGTGAAATGAACAAGAGTATAATCTGCAAATGAATAATCCCCAATCATCTGAGACAGTTGAAAAATGTATGTTCTGCATTTCAACAGAATACATTAATTAATATAAATTCGTTTGGTAATAGAATTGTGCGTTTGGCATCTATGTGACAGAAAGTTGGAACCAAATGCATACATAATTATTTTAAATTATTCAAAACCATTCTTGTTTAGATTCAGAATTGAGTGAGTGAAAGCTTTTGCAGACAGGTGCGCAATGACAGAAATGATCCGACAGCGCAACATTGACCCAATGTATTACTAAAATATAAACTTCATTAGTAATTATCAGATGAAGGGAAGTCAAAGTCTCAGTGAGAGACTTTTAGAACATTATTGATATTTCAAACACTAAATATTGAGAGCAGGCTTCACAGATCATCAGCACATACAGTATCAGACAGAAGCAGTCATGTCTTTTTAAAACGCTGAGAGACAAAGACACCAGGCTTTGATTTTTCATTTTTAATTTGAGGCTGGACTTCACAGAACTCTGACCACTGCTCTGGGCGACTTCATCCACTGCGTCCAGGGAATGCTTCACCTCACATTTGTGCTGTTTCACTCGGAGAAGGATCTTCCACTGGCTTTTCATTTGGCTTTTTTCTAGTGTGAAGCTGCATGTGTCCCTTCAGTTTACACCTCTGTCTAAAGGATCTCTGGCAGATGTCACAGGTGTACGGCCTTTCTCCAGAGTGAGTCATCTTGTGTCTTTTTAAGTGAGATTTGAAGCCTTTCTTGCAGATTTCACAGAAAAAGACCCTCTTGCGTTTGAGAATCTTAAGGTCGCTGTCCCCGCTGAGTGCTCGTTGGGAAACCTCCAGCCCACATGTCTGTTTGTGGTCACGAAGACTGGACTCGGGTTTGTGTCCTTCTCCGGTCATGTCACAGCAGTGCTTCAGCTCTTTGCTTTTGTCGCAGAGAAATGTAGATTCTTCAAGTTTTTTCTCCACTTCCTCGTCGTTGGAAGTGAGGTGTAAAAGAGCTGCTAATGACTCGTTCCCATCAGTAAAGGGGACTTGAGCGCTCGCTGTCAAGAGAGGAAGAGAGAGAAGCAGTTACAATTGAATTATTTCCCAAGTATCAATTATAGTATCTGGACTTCAAAAGGTTTTTTACTCAAAAATGAAAAATGACTATCATAGATTAGAGAAGAAAAATGACACTGACATTTCTCCACTGTGAAACGAATAAAGGAATATCTTATCTCTTATCTTAAACACAGACATATCAAAGATATATTGTGGACAAAATCAAAAAAAAAGATTGACAAATACAATTATGCCAAAATGTGACTCGGTTAGAAAAAAGAGAAATAGAACTAGACATAAACAATAGAAGGTCCTCAGTGACAAAGCAGCAGAAGAACAGCCACAGATTAACACAACATCAGGAAATCACAACCATTTTTGAACAATTATCAATAATAATTTAGATGACACTTTGAAAACTGTGTAATGGATGTCATGATTTCTATCAATGTTATTCTAAAAGAAAATCCCATTTACTTTTTATACTGTATGAAAGTAGTCACTTTATATTTTTTTTACACAGAGTAGAAACAATCTATGAATCAAATGTGGATCTGAAAGTGTCATAAACTTCCGCAACAATGTGAAACGTCACCTCACTGGGGGGAAAGAGCCCAAGCTCGTGGGGAGGTTTAGAGATAACAACTAGAGATAGTTGGCCTCACCTCCACACACAGCTTTTCTGGTGTTTCTCGTGGGAAGAAGCGGCGAGCGGGGGTGGCCATTCTCACTGCCCCCCATCTCAGCCGCCACGTGTTGGAGTTCTCCCCGGTGAATGAAAGGGTCGCGACCCTCCGCCTTCGGGTGGGGGACAAGTCTCTCACTATTGTGACAGTCCATGGGTCTAACGGCAGTGCAGAGTACTCAGCCTTCTTATTCCCTAGGCCGGAGGTTGATGATCGTTATTCTCCTGGAGGACTTAAACCTCCATGTGGGAAACGCCAGTGACACTTGGAGAGGGGTGATCGGGAAGAACGGCCCCCTGATCTGAATCTGAGTGGTGTTCAGTTGTTGGACTTCTGTGCTAGTCACAGTTTGTCCATCACGAACACCATGTTCGAGCACAAGAGGTGTCCACCAGTGCACGTGGCACCAGGACACCCTAGGCCGGAGGTTGATGATCGACTTTGTTGTCGTATCATCTGACCTTCAACTGCGTGTCTCGGACGCTCGGGTGCTGGTCTCGGCGCCAACCCCCGAACCCGGTGGTGGATACCAGTAGTAAGAGAGGCCTTCAGGCTGAACGAGTCCTATCCAGCTATGATGGTTCGTGGGACTCCTGAGCAGCTGTCCAGTACCGGCAGGCCAAGCGTGCCACGGCCCAGGCTGTTGAAAAGGAAAAAACCCGAGACTGGGAGAAGTTGGGAGGAGTTTGGAGAGTCCATGGAGCATGACTATCGGTTGGCATCGAAAAGATTCCGGCAAACTGTTTGGCGCCTCAGGAGGGGGAAGCAGTTCTTGGTCAACATTTTGTACGGTGCGGGTGGAGAGCTGCTGACCTCGACTTTGAGGTTCTCCTCAATTCTCCCATCTCCCCTGTTGGCTAAAAAAAATCCAGAACCTGCAAGATGCACTGGGGCGGTTTGCAGCCGACTATGAAGCAGCTGAATTGAAAATCAGCACCCCCAAATCTGAGGCCATGGTGCTTGACCGGAAAAAGGTTCACTCCCTCACCTATGGTCATGAGCTTTGGGTAATGACCGAAACTATGAGATCGCGGATACAAGCGGTTGAGATGAGCTTCCTCCACAGAGTGGCTGGGCTCTCCCTTAGAGATAGGGTGAGGAGCTCAGTCACATGGGAGGAACCCAGAGTAGAGCCGCTGCCTCTCCACGTCGAGAGGAACCAGTTGAGGTGGCTTAGGCATCTGATCTGGATGCCTCCTGGGAGGTGTTCCAGGCATCTCCCACCGGGTCGAGGCCTGGGAAGACTGAGGACACGCTGGAGGGACTACGTCTCTCAGCCTAGGAACACCTCGGGGTCACCCTGGCCGTCTGCTTAGACTGCCCCGCGACCCGGCAATGGATGAAGAAAATGGATGGATGGATGCATATGGAAAATCATAAAATCTGCAATTTAACATAATAAATTATCCTTTCTAATTGTCCATCTAAACTATCTATTATCAGAGTTCAATATATCTTAAGTGAACAACTTTTCTCCAAATCTGTGCAGTTGTATGTAAGTGTGTATGAAAGTCTAACCTGAGATAGGAAGATCCGTTGCTTCGAGCCAGGTTTGTGACTCCTCTGTTTTCTGAACTCTGCTCCGGCATTCTTCCCCAGAATCTTCCTGTTTGCGTTTCACATATTTACAAGCAGAGAAAGATCTTCCAGAGCCAAGGCAGGAAAAGGGGTTTTCTCTTTTGTGAGTCTTCATGTGTCTCTTCAGATGGGACCTTTGGGAGTACCTCTTCTCGCAACTGTCACAGGAATAAGGCCTTTCTACAGAGTGAGTCATCTTGTGTTTCTTTAAGTGACAGTTGAACTTGAGGTCTTTCTTGCAGATCTCACAGAAACAGCCCCTCTTGCCTTTGTGAATCTTAAGGTCACTGTCCCCGGTGAGTGCTTGTTGGGAAACCTCCTGTCCACATGTCTGTTTGTGGTCACATAGACTGTGTCCTTCTCCGGAGATGTCACAGCTTGGTTTGCTTTTGTCGCAGTGAAATGCAGATTCTTCCGTTTTTTTCTCTACTTCCTCGTCGCTGGAAGTGAGGTGTAACTGAGCTGCTAATGACGCGTTCCCATCAGTAAAAGGGACTTGAGTGCTCGCTGTCAAGAGATGGAAACAAAAGACAGTTACAATCTCAAAATTGTTCTTATTGCAATCCACACTTCCAACTCTCTCACTTCTGGAACAGAGCCATTCAAAGGATATAATAATGCATCAGTTTTCTATAGCACTTTTTTGGACACTCAAAGACGCTTCATTTGTCATTATTATTTTACTCCAAGCACAGTGGTGATCAACTATACTATGGAAGCCACAGTATAACACACCAATCACCAACAACACCAGACTCTTTCTGGAGTGGGTGAAGTGTCTTGACGAAGGACAAAACAATTGACCCCGTGCATGTGACGTCCCGGCCACGCCCACTCTCCATGACAGACGGCGGAAGTCTAACTGCGAGCCTTCAGAAACTTGACCATTTCAACATCTTTCACCGAATTACAGCCAAAACTGTGATATTTTGCAGTGCGGTTGGTTGTTCTAACAGGACATAAGCCAAATGTGTCTTTTTATCTGATACCTGCTTGTGGACTTTTCTGGAGTTTCCCGCGGGGAGAGGCGGCGAGCTGGGGTGGCCATTCTCATTGCCCCCCATCTCAGCCGCCACGTGTTGGAGTTCTCCCCGGTGAATGAGAGGGTCGCGTCCCTCCGCCTCCGGGTGGGGGACAAGTCTCTCATTGTTGTGACGGCCTACGGGCCTAACAGCAGTGTAGAGTACCCGGCCTTCTTGGAGTCCTTGGGAGGGGTACTGGACGGTGCACCGCCCGGGGACTCCGTTATTCTCCTGGGGGACTTCAACGCCCATGTGGGAAACGCTAGTGACACTTGGAGAGGGGTGATCGGGAAGAGCGGCCCCCCTGATCTGAACCCGAGCGGTGCTCAGTTGTTGGACTTCTGTGCCAGTCACGGTTTGTCCATCACGAACACCATGTTCGAGCACAAGGGTGTCCACCAGTGCACGTGGCACCAGGACACCCTAGGCCGGAGGTCGATGATCGACTTTGTTGTCGTATCATCTGACCTTCGACCGCGTGTCTCGGACACTCGGGTAAAGAGAGGGGCGGAGCTGTCAACCGATCATCACCTGGTCGTGAGTTGGATCCGCTGGCAGGGGAAGAAGCCGGTCAGACCTGGCAGACCCAAGCGTATAGTGAGGGTCTGCTGGGAACGTCTCGCTGAGCCCCCTGTCAGACGGACTTTCAACTCACACCTCCGGGAGAGTTTCTCCCAGGTCCCGGCGGAGGAGGGGGACATGGAGTCCGAGTGGACCATGTTCTCTGCCTCAATCGCCGATGCGGCGGCTCGTAGCTGTGGTCGCAAGGTCTCTGGTGCTGGTCCCGGCGGCAACCCCCGAACCCGGTGGTGGACACCGGCAGTAAGGGATGCTGTCAGGCTGAAGAAGGAGTCCTATCGAGCCATGATGGTTCGGGGGACTCCTGAGGCAGCTGTCCAGTACCGGCAGGCCAAGCGTGCCGCGGCCCGGGCTGTTGCAGAGGCAAAAACCCGGGACTGGGAGGAGTTCGGAGAGTCCATGGAGCATGACTATCGGTCGGCCTCGAAGAGATTCTGGCAAACCATCCGGCGCCTCAGGAGGGGGAAGCAGTTCTTTGCCAGCACCATGTACGGTGCGGGTGGAGAGCTGCTGACATCGACTGGGGATATTGTCGGGCGGTGGAAGGAATACTTTGAGGTTCTCCTCAATCCCCCCGTCACGTCCTCTGTTACAGAGGCAGAGGCTGAGGATGTTGGGGCGGGTACATCCATCTCCCTGGCTGAGGTCACCAAGGTGGTTGGTAGCCTCCATGGTGGCAAGGCTCCGGGTGTGGATGAGATCCGCCCTGATTATCTAAAGTCTCTGGATGTTGTAGGACTGTCTTGGCTGACACGTCTCTGCAACATCGCGTGGCGATCGGGGGCAGTGCCAATGGAGTGGCAGACCGGGGTGGTGGTCCCTCTCTACAAGAAGGGGGACCGGAGGGTATGTTCCAATTATCGTGGGATCACACTCCTCAGCCTCCCCGGTAAGGTCTACTCCAAGGTACTGGAGAGGAGGCTACGGCCGATGGTCGAATCTCGGATCCAGGAGGAGCAGTGTGGTTTTCGTCCCGGTCGCGGAACACTGGACCAGCTCTATACTCTCCATCGGATACTCGAGGGTTCATGGGAGTTCGCCCAACCTGTCCACATGTGCTTTGTGGATTTGGAGAAGGCGTTCGACTGTGTTCCCCGGGGTGTCCTTTGGGGGGTTCTCCGGGAGTACGGGGTCGGGGGTCCTCTGCTGAGGGCCATCCGATCCCTGTATGACCAGAGCCAGAGCTGTGTTCGCATTGCCGGCAGTAAGTCAGACCTGTTCCCGGTGAATGTTGGCCTCCGACAGGGCTGCCCTTTGTCACCGGTTCTGTTCACTGTATTTATGGACAGAATATCTAGGCGCAGCCAGGGGTCGGAGGGGGTCCGGTTCGGAGACCACAGGATTTCATCTCTGCTGTTTGCGGACGATGTTGTCCTGTTGGCTCCAACGAACCAGGACCTGCAGCATGCACTGGGACGGTTTGCAGCCGAGTGTGAAGCGGCTGGGATGAGAATCAGCACCTCCAAATCCGAGGCCATGGTGCTCGACCGGAAAAAGGTGCCTTGCCCTCTGCAGGTGGGTGGAGAGGTCCTTCCTCAAGTGGAGGAGTTCAAGTATCTCGGGGTCTTGTTCACGAGTGAGGGAAGAATGGAGCGTGAGATTGACAGGCGGATCGGTGCAGCGTGCGCTGTTATGCGGTCGCTGTATCGGACCGTTGTGGTGAAGAGGGAGCTGAGCCGAAAGGCAAAGCTCTCGATTTACCGGTCAATCTTCGTTCCCTCCCTCATCTATGGTCATGAGCTTTGGGTAATGACCGAAAGAACGAGATCGCGGATACAAGCGGTCGAAATGAGCTTCCTCCGCAGAGTGGCTGGGCGCTCCCTTAGAGATAGGGTGAGGAGCTCAGTCACACGGGAGGAGCTCGGAGTAGAACCGCTGCTTCTCCACGTCGAGAGGAACCAGTTGAGGTGGCTCGGGCATCTGTTCCGGATGCTTCCTGGACGCCTCCCTGGGGAGGTGTTCCGGGCACGTCCCACCGGGAGGAGGCCCCGCGGAAGACCCAGGACACGCTGGAGGGACTATATCTCTCAGCTGGCCTGGGAACGCCTTGGGGTCCCCCCGGACGAGCTGGAGGAAGTGTGTGTGGATAGGGAAGTCTGGGCGTCTCTGCTTAGACTGCTGCCCCCGCGACCCGGCAACGGATAAAGCGGAAGAAAATGGATGGATGGATGGACCTGCTTGTGATGAAGACAGAAGACGACAATGCGGCAATCAACTAAAAGGACTGGGAGCCATCCAAGTACTACCCAATTTGCAGTGAACTCTTTTTACAAGATAAATCAATCAAATTTTTTATTCATTTTCTTTCCATGAATTTATATGGAGGAAAATGACACAACAAACGCTTGAAATCAAACGTGTGCTCTTACTACTGTCCTGTATGTGCGCTGCAACATTGACATTTCCTTACTGTGGTACGAATAAAGGATCTCTTATCATATCTTAGACGCAAGTTGCGTTTTTCACCATTATCCTCTCCGTCAATATCAGTATCATGTTTGGATGTAGACAGAAAAGTGCATTGCTAATGTGCTAATGCTACCAGAATTTTTTTTATTTACAGTAAATCTGTTCCAGTGTGAGGAGATGCATTGTTAACAACATATGATACGGATCATGTGGGGTGAATTTGACATTTCCTTTAATAAAAAAAAATTACTTTGGGGAGAAAGTACGGGTCGACATCCAGTTTGGCGATCCTTAACTTCTCCGAATACCACTCTTTGTGAGCCCTGACAAGATGTCCTTCTTTCACCGATAACGTAATCGAACATGTGCTTGAAGCTGCCACTTCTTGATTTAGGAGAGAAGTCTCAGTTTGTAAGAGTTGGAGTCTGTTTTGCTCTCGTTGCAATGCTAGTTTCCACTCCTTCCGCAGTATAAGCTCATGCACAACAGTAAAGTTCCTCACTGCAAGACTTAATTTGGTCAGTCTGCATTTAAATATAGAAGTGCATCCTTGATGCTCGAGAGATAGTTTAGCTTTGTGAATCTGGAAAAGGCGTTCACCTGTTTTGCCCCCCTTACTAATACCAAACGAGTGTGACATCACAGCTGATGTATAATGCGATGTCCCTGAAAAGGGAGCTGAGTCAAAAGGTGATTCTACATCGACCGATGTTCCCACGTTCACCTTTGTTCATGAGCTCTGGGTAACTCCCTCAGAGATAGGGTCAGGAGCCCAGACATACAGGAGGAGCTCGAAGTAGAGCCGCTGCTTTTCCACATCAGGAGGACACAGCTGAGGTGGATCTGTTTGGGATGCCTGCTGCACATATCCCTCCACTCTGTAAACTGTCTCTCTGCTGGACTGGGAAAGCCTCATGGATGAGCTGGCAGAAGTGTATGTGGAAAGGAAATTCTGGGAAAATCGATGGATGGAACCATCTAAAATCTCAATGAGATATTTTTCCCATAAAAAATGAATGACATTTTTCCACACTTGATTATTTGTCGTGTCTGATGTGACTGTCTGACCTGAGATTGCGGAGTCCGGTTCTGTTCCCAGGTCAGGTCCGTCCATGGTCCTCAGAATGTACTGCCCTGCGACATCACCAGTCTGCTGCTCCTTAAAGAAGTATGTATTTGTTTATTTTGGCCATTCAAACTTTTAATGTCGTAATGTCATATTTTTTGATAAAAAAAAAAAAAATCAACGTAACATAAAAGCACTCCCACAAACAGATTAATTTAAAACACAAACATTTTTTAATCCAAAAAACTATCAAACAAAGCACAGAGATGGTGCAGTCCAAGGAATGATTGAAAGTTGTGAAGTTCAAGTCACCTGCAGCTCTGTTACATCGCCCTGTGGATAAATTAAAGTTTCTTTCAGCAAAACGCTATACAAAGCAAACCATGCTTCACCCCAGAGTCTCCAGGTCCCTCCTCTTCTTCCTCTTCTTCCTCTTCACTTGAACTGACCTGGAGCTGAGCTGCTAATGACTCGTTCTCATCAGAAAACATGACCCGAGGTTCTGCTGTCAAGAGATGGAGACAAAAGTAATCATCATGGCCCAAATCACTGCTGAGGGCTGGGTTTCAAAGGGGGCAGCAGTCTAAGAAGAGACACCCAGATTTCCCTATCCACACGAACCTCCTCCAGCTCATCCGGGGGAACCCCAAGGCGTTCCCAGGCCAGCTGAGAGACATAGTCCCTTCAGCGTGTCCTGGGTCTTCCCTGGGGTCTCCTCCCAGTGGGACGTGCCCGGAACACGTCCCCAGGGAGGCGTCCGGGGGCACCTCAACTGGTTCCGCTCGACGTGAAGGAGCAGCGGCTTTACTCCAAGCTCCTCCCGTGTAAATGAGATCCTCACCCTATATCTGAGGGAGCGCCCAGCCACTCCGCGGTGGAAGCTCATTTCGACCGCTTGTATCCGCAATCTCGTTCTTTCTGTCATTACCCAAAGCTCATGCCCATAGGTGAGGGAGGGAACGAAGATTGACCGGTAAATCGAGAGTTTTGCCTTTTGGCTCAGCTCCCTCTTCACCACGACGGTCCGATACAGCGACCATATCACTGCGCACACTGCCCCGATCCGTCTGTCAATCTCACGCTCCATTCTTCTTTCACTCGTGAACAAGACCTCCAGATAGTTGAACTCCTCCACTTGCGGAAGGACCACTCCACCCACCTGGAGAGGGCAAGGCCCCTTTTTCCGGTTGAGCACCATGGCCTCGGATTTTGAGGTGCTGATTCTCATCCCAGCCGCTTCACACTCGGCTGCAAACCGTCCCAGTACTGGGACGGTTGGAGCAACAGAACAACATCGTCCGCAAACAGCATGGATGAAATCCTGTGGTCTCCGAACCAGACCCCCTCCGGTCCCTGGCTGCGCCTAGAAATTCTGTCCATGAACACAGTGAACAGAACCGGTGACAAACGGCAGCCTTGGCGGAGGCCAACATGCACCGGGAACGGGTCTGACTTACTGCTGGCGATGCAAACACAGCTATGACTCCGGTCATACAGGGACCGGACAGTCCTCAGCAGAGGACCCCGGACCCCGTATCTCCCAAAGGACACCTTCGGGGAACACGGTGGAACGCCTTCTCCAAATCCACAAAACACATGTGGACAGGTTGGGCGAACTCCCATGAACCCTCGAGTATCCGATGGAGAGTATAGAGCTGGTCCAGTGTTCCACGGCCGGAAAGGAAACCACACTGCTCCTCCTGAATCTGAGATTCGACCATCGGTCAAACTCTCCTCTCCCGTACCTTGGAGTAGACCTTACCGGGGAGGCTGAGGAGTGTGATCCAACCAATATTTGGGACACACCCTCCGATCCCCCTTCTTGTAGAGAGGGACCACCACCCCGGTCTGCCACTCCAGTTTTTGTGATCCGCATTGTTTTGCAAGATGTTGTTGTACATCTTTGCCATGTTTTTGTGGAGTTCAGCGGATTTTTTACTGCCAAAGCTCTTTGCTAGCAATGAACAGTGGATGTGTTTTTAAAAGTAAACACACAGTTAGCATCTGAGCTAAAGGCTTTTTGAGCAGTATTTAAGACCTACAAATCCAGAGATATCATCTTCTGAAGCGCTGACAGGTCACCGAGGGCCCCACGCATCTGCAGCACAGTGGAGGCGTCACAAGAGGCGCTACAGGAGTCCCGGCCTCCGTTGTGGGCAACTTCTACAGAGGGACTGTAGAGAGCATCCTGACCAGCTCCATCACTGGGTGGCACGGCACCAGCACTGTCTCCTGCCAAAGGAGCCTCCAGCGCATCGTGAGAGCAGCAGAGAAGATCTGTGGAGCCCCTCTCCCCACCATTAAGGACATGTACTCCACCCGTCTCACCCGCAAAGCCGTCAGAATCACCAGGGACCCTACGCACCCATCACACAGGCTCTTCAGGGTAATGCCTTCAGGGAGGAGACTGCAGAATTTACGGAACAGTTCCAGTCGACTTAAAAACAGTTTCATTCACAAGGCCATCAGGAAGCTGAACTCCCTGCCCTCCCTCCCACCCCTCTTCCGCCCCACCCCTCTTCCCCCCCACCCCTCTTCCCCCACCCCCCGCTCCACAATCAAGGATGAGAGAAATATAATTTCAAACCATTCACTTGGTTTGACAAATAAAAATCTTGAATCATTGGTACCGCCCCCGATCGTCACACGATGTTGCAGACGGATCTCATCCACTCCCGGAGCCTTTCCACCAAGGAGGCTGGCAACCACCTTGGTGACCTCAGCCAGGGAGATGGAGGTATCCGCCCCAACATCCTCAGCCTCTGCCTCCGGAACGGAGGACGTGATGGGAGCATTGAGGAGAACCTCGAATTACACCGTACACGGTGTTGGCAAAGCACTGCTTCCCCCTCCTGAGGCTCCGGATGGTTTCCCATAATCTCTTTGAGGCCGACCGATAGTCATGCTCCATGGACGCTCCAAACTCCTCCCAGTCCCGGGTTTTTGCCCGTTGGTGTTTGTGATGGACAAACTGTGACTAGCACAGAAGTCCAACAACTGAACACCGCTCGGGTTCAGATCAGGGGGACCGTTCTTCCCGATAACCCCTCTCCAAGTGTTACTGGCATTTCCCACATGGGCGTTGAAGTCCCCCAGGAGAATAATGGAGTCCCCAGGCGATGCACTGTCCAGTACACCTCCCAAGTACTCCAAGAAGGCCGAGTAGGCCCGTAGGCCGTCACAACAGTGAGAGACTTGTCCCCCAACTGAAGGCGGAGGGACGCGACCCTCTCATGCACCGGGGAGAACTCCAACACGTGGCGGCTGAGACTGGGGGCAGTGAGAATGGCCACCCCTGCTCGCCACTTCTTCCCACGAGAAACACCAGAAAAGTGGAGCGTCCAACCCCTCTTAAGGAGTTGGGTTCCAGAGTCCAAACTGTGTGGAGGTGAGGCCGACTATATCTTGTCGGTATCGCTCAACCTCCCCCACGAGCTCGGGCTCCTTCTCCCCCATAAAGAACAGATAATGTATATTTATATTTATATTTATTGATATTACTTCCTCACCTATGATCATGAGCTTTGGGTAATGACCGAAAGAACGAGATCGCAGATACAAGCCGTTAAATTGAGCTTCCTCCACAGAGTGGCTGGGCTCTCCCTTAGAGATAGGGTGAGGAGCTCAGTCAGATAGGAGGAGCTTGGAGAAGAGCCGCTGCCTCTCCACGTCGAGAGGAACCAGTTGAGGTGGCTTAGGCATCTGTTCTGGATGCCTCCTGGGAAGACTGAGGACATGCTGGAGGGACTATGTCTCTCAGCCTAGGAACACCTTTTGGGTCCCCCTGGGCGTCTCTTCTTAGACTGCCCTGCGACCCGGCAACGGATGAAGAAAATGAATGCATATGGAAAATCAGTCTGCAATTTAACACAACAAATTATACTTTCTAATTGTCCATATAAACTATCTATAATCAGAATTCAATATCTTAAGTGACACATGAAAAAGTTTTCTCCAAATCTGTGCAGTTGTATGTAAGTGTGTATGAAAGTCTAACCTGAGATTGGAAGATCCGTTCCATCCAAAACACTCAGAATGTACCGCTCCGCTGTGTCGAGCCAGGTTTGTGCCTCTTCTGTTTTCTGAACTCTGCTCCGGGCTTCTTCCCCAGAATCCTCCTGTTTGCGTTTCACATATTTGCGAGCAGAGAAAGATCTTCCAGAGCCATGGCAGGAAAAGGGCTTTTCTCTTGTGTGAGTCTTCATGTGTCTCTTCAGATGGGACCTTTGGGAGTACCTCTTCTCGCAACTGTCACAGGAATAAGGCCTTTCTCCAGAGTGAGTCAGTGTGTGCCTCTTTAAGTGACAGTTGAACTTGAGGTCATTCTTGCAGATCTCACAGAAACAGCCCCTCTTGCCTTTGTGAACCTTAAGGTCACTGTCCCCGGTGAGTGCTTGTTGGGAAACCTCCAGCCCACATGTCTGTTTGTGGTCACATAGACTGGTCTCGTGTCCTTTTCCGGAGATGTCACAGCTTGGTTTGCTTTTGTCACAGTGAAACGCCGATTCTTCCGGTTTTTTCTCTACTTCCTCGTCGCTGGAAGTGAGGTGTAACTGAGCTGCTAATGACGCGTTCCCATCAGTAAAAGGGACTTGAGTGCTCGCTGTCAAGAGATGGAAACAAAAGACAATTACAATCTCAAAATTGTTCTTATTGCAATCCACACTTCCAACCCTCTCACTTCTGGAACGGAGCCATTCGAAGGACATAATAATGCATCAGTTTTCTATAGCACTTTTTTGGACACTCAAAGACGCTTCATGTGTCATTATTCTTTTACTCCAAACACAGTGGTGATCAACTATACTATGGAAGCCACAGCTGCCCTGGGGAACACTAACGGAAGCGAAGCAACCAGACCCCTCCCACCACACACCAATCACCAACAACACCAGACTCTTTCTGGAGTGGGTGAAGTGTCTTGACGAATGACTAAACAATTGACCCCTTGCATGTGACGTCCCGGCCACGCCCACTCTCCATGTCAGACGCTGGAAGTCTAACTGCGAGCCTTCGGAAACTTGACCAAATCAACCTGTTTCACCAAATAACAGCTGTTGGAATAATTGTATAATCATTATGTTTTATCATTACTTTGTTTTTAACCATTTGTGTTGCACAGGTATAACCTATGGTTCGAGTTTTTTTATATAAAACACTGCTTATAATCTTACAGTCCTTGTTCCAGTAATATAGATGTGTGTACTGCAATACTAGTGATACAAAGTAAGTAGCAAATGTTCTGGGGAAGGTCACGCTTTCCGAGAAGCGGGTGACTCATCAACTGCATCTTCATCCTGTTAGTAACAAATGTAACATTCAATGATTTTCCACAAGTCAGCCGTGGGTGCCTGTAACTACTGTAGGGGGCGTTAAAACATAATAAAAGGGGCTGTAGGGATCACACTGATTACAGACTAGATTGTACCTGGGTCTTGATCAAATACAGATTTACACGGAATCATAAAGAACAGATAATGTTTATATATATTAATGTTAATTCTTCAAAAAATCCATAAAAAAGTAAAACAAATTATGTCCTACAACTTATAATACTGCACAAACTGATGCCAACACAAATGCAAATCTGTCGCATTCTTTGCTCACAAAACCTGGCACAGACTCTTTGTTGTTGCCAACTTCCAAACTGCCTTTTCTCTCAAAAAAAGAATTTAGCAAAATGTCTTTGAAACTCTCCAACATGGCCTGAAGAGTCTCCTTCTCAGTGGGACTCACACAACTCCTGCTGCAGGTTTCACACAGTTTGAGAGATCCCCAAGGCTGAAGAGCATTATGGGATGTTCAAGTAACAGATGTAGACAATGAACCATCTCCTTTGCAAACAACAAATGAACAAATGACGGTGTTTGCAAAGCACTGCTTCCCCCTCCTGAGGCTCCGGATGGTTTCCCATAATCTCTTTGAGGCCGACCGATAGTCATGCTCCATGGACGCTCCAAACTCCTTCCAGTCCCGGGTTTTTGCCCGTTGCCGCCGGGACGAGCACCAGAGACCCTGCAACCACAGCTACGAGCTGCTGCATCGGCAATAGAGGTGGAAAACATGGTCCACTCAGACTCGATGTCCCCCTCCTTCCCCGGGACCTAGGAAAAGCTCTCCCGGCAGTGTGAGTTGAAAGTCCGTCTGACAGGGGGCTCAGCGAGACGTTCCCAGCAGACCCTCACTACACGTTTGGGTCTGCCAGGTCTGACCGGCCTCTTCCCCTGCCAGTGGATCCAACTCACAACCAGGTGGTGATTGGTTGACAGCTCCGCCCCTCTCTTCACCCGAGTGTCCGAGGCAGGCGGCTGAAGGTCAGATGATACGACAACAAAGTCGATCATCGACCTCCGGCCTTGTGCTCAAACATGGTGTTCGTGATGGACAAACTGTGACTAGCACAGAAGTCCAACAACTGAACACCGCTCGGGTTCAGATCAGGGGGACCGTTCTTCCCGATAACCCCTCTCCAAGTGTTACTGGCATTTCCCACATGGGCGTTGAAGTCCCCCAGGAGAATAATGGAGTCCCCAGGCGATGCACTGTCCAGTACACCTCCCAAGTACTCCAAGAAGGCCGAGTAGGCCCGTAGGCTGTCACAACAGTGAGAGACTTGTCCCCCAACTGAAGGCGGAGGGACGCGACCCTCTCATGCACCGGGGAGAACTCCAACACGTGGCGGCTGAGACTGGGGGCAGTGAGAATGGCCACCCCTGCTCGCCACTTCTTCCCACGAGAAACACCAGAAAAGTGGAGCGTCCAACCCCTCTTAAGGAGTTGGGTTCCAGAGTCCAAACTGTGTGGAGGTGAGGCCGACTATATCTTGTCGGTATCGCTCAACCTCCCCCACGAGCTCGGGCTCCTTCTCCCCCATAAAGAACAGATAATGTATATTTATATTTATATTTATTGATATTACTTCCTCACCTATGATCATGAGCTTTGGGTAATGACCGAAAGAACGAGATCGCAGATACAAGCCGTTAAATTGAGCTTCCTGCACAGAGTGGCTGGGCTCTCCCTTAGAGATAGGGTGAGGAGCTCAGTCAGATAGGAGGAGCTTGGAGAAGAGCCGCTGCCTCTCCACGTCGAGAGGAACCAGTTGAGGTGGCTTAGGCATCTGTTCTGGATGCCTCCTGGGAAGACTGAGGACATGCTGGAGGGACTATGTCTCTCAGCCTAGGAACACCTTTTGGGTCCCCCTGGGCGTCTCTACTTAGACTGCCCTGCGACCCGGCAACGGATGAAGAAAATGAATGCATATGGAAAATCATAAAGTCTGCAATTTAACACAACAAATTATCCTTTCTAATTGTCCATATAAACTATCTATAATCAGAGTTCAATATCTTAAGTGACACATGAAAAAGTTTTCTCCAAATCTGTGCAGTTGTATGTAAGTGTGTATGAAAGTCTAACCTGAGATTGGAAGATCCGTTCCATCCAAAACACTCAGAATGTACCGCTCCGCTGCGTCGAGCCAGGTTTGTGCCTCTTCTGTTTTCTGAACTCTGCTCCGGGCTTCTTCCCCAGAATCCTCCTGTTTGCGTTTCACATATTTGCGAGCAGAGAAAGATCTTCCAGAGCCATGGCAGGAAAAGGGCTTTTCTCTTGTGTGAGTCTTCATGTGTCTCTTCAGATGGGACCTTTGGGAGTACCTCTTCTCGCAACTGTCACAGGAATAAGGCCTTTCTCCAGAGTGAGTCAGTGTGTGCCTCTTTAAGTGACAGTTGAACTTGAGGTCATTCTTGCAGATCTCACAGAAACAGCCCCTCTTGCCTTTGTGAATCTTAAGGTCACTGTCCCCGGTGAGTGCTTGTTGGGAAACCTCCAGCCCACATGTCTGTTTGTGGTCACATAGACTGGTCTCGTGTCCTTTTCCGGAGATGTCACAGCTTGGTTTGCTTTTGTCACAGTGAAACGCCGATTCTTCCGGTTTTTTCTCTACTTCCTCGTCGCTGGAAGTGAGGTGTAACTGAGCTGCTAATGACGCGTTCCCATCAGTAAAAGGGACTTGAGTGCTCGCTGTCAAGAGATGGAAACAAAAGACAGTTACAATCTCAAAATTGTTCTTATTGCAATCCACACTTCCAACCCTCTCACTTCTGGAACGGAGCCATTCGAAGGACATAATAATGCATCAGTTTTCTATAGCACTTTTTTGGACACTCAAAGACGCTTCATGTGTCATTATTATTTTACTCCAAACACAGTGGTGATCAACTATACCAGGGGTGGCCAACCCGCGGCTCGTGAGCCGCATGCGGCTCTTTGGCTGGTTCCGTGCGGCTCTCGGGCTTTCACACGAGAAGCGTCAATAACGCCTCGGTGGTGGCGCTGCCTTTCATTCCCTATGTAGTTCTGACCCATAGTAAAGGCCGACTTCACTCCACTAGCCAGGCCACCAAAACAATCTGACGTCGGCGAACGTCAATTCTGGTTGGTCAGATGCGCTGTCAATCACTCTGCAGCTGCTGCCTCAGCTGTTGCGAATATCATAACAAACAACACGTTGCCTCGACCCATGGCGTCCGTACGGAAAACAATATCTTGGTCGCTGGATGAGGGCAACACCTTCCTCAGTTTGAGGAGAGGACACCAGCGTGAGCTCGATGGTTCCACCAGAAACCAGAAGGTGTTTGTGGAGCTAGCGCTAAGGACGGAGCAGAATGAGTCCCACAAACATGAAAATGCAGAGAAAAGTTAAAAAGCTTAAAAGTGACAACCGTGAAATGAAAGATCACAGCAGCAGAAGTAGAGGCAGACTCGAAAAGTCTGGAGGTGGTTTGACCAAATGGATTACATTTACGGACATCGGCTAACACCGGCTAACATGCTAAAACCAGCTAACACCAGCTAGCATTACACCAGGAGATTAGCCAACTCTGCCTGGTGAGTGTCTGTCTTCAATCAAATGCAAAAGTATCTGGTCTTATACTGAACATGTGTCTGTGGTTCTAAATCAGCTAAAGTGGTGTTGGTGTTATGTGTCAAATCTATATCTTTTGCTAAACGCAGTCGGAGTGAATCATGGTTCGATAAAGACAGTTGTGTTTCTGCTGAACACTGGGTTGAAACTCGATTTTTTTTTTCTTGGTTAGAGATTGAAAGCATTCATTTCGGAATCATAATTGATGTTCGCTGACGTGAAATTGTTCTGGTATCGAACCCGGTTAGAACCCGGGCCAAACCATTAATAAAAAGTACCGGGGAGCGGTTGAAGCGAGCGGTAGAAGCGCCCGCAAACCAGGGAGAGTCGAGTCCAGCCATTTAGTGCTGTACGAGTCAATTTCTGTCATTATCATGTTGATGACATTTACAATAAATCTGTCTGAGCAGAGCACACCTCTTTCTGCTCAGACAGATTGCATGTGTGTGCGCGTGTCTGCTCGTGTGCCTACGTGCGCGTGTGCGTGCGTGTGTAAGGGTTGGGGTGATGTTTATGTAGTATATATATTTGTATGATGTGGCTCTTTGCTGTAACACAGTAAAAAAAATTGGCTCTTAGTCTCTGACTGGTTGGCCACCCCTGAACTATACTATGGAAGCCACAGCTGCCCTGGGGAACACTGACTGAAGCGAAGCAACCAGACCCCTCCCACCACACACCAATCACCAACAACACCAGACTCTTTCTGGAGTGGGTGAAGTGTCTTGACGAAGGACTAAACAATTGACCCCTTGCATGTGACGTCCCGGCCACGCCCACTCTCCATGTCAGACGCTGGAAGTCTAACTGCGAGCCTTCGGAAACTTGACCAAATCAACCTGTTTCACCAAATAACAGCTGTTGGAATAATTGTATAATCATTATGTTTTATCATTACTTTGTTTTTAACCATTTGTGTTGCACAGGTATAACCTATGGTTCGAGTTTTTTATATAAAACACTGCTTATAATCTTATAGTCCTTGTTCCAGTAATATAGATGTGTGTACTGCAATACTAGTGATACAAAGTAAGTAGCAAATGTTCTGGGGAAGGTCACGCTTTCCGAGAAGCGGGTGACTCATCAACTGCATCTTCATCCTGTTAGTAACAAATGTAACATTCAATGATTTTCCACAAGTCAGCCGTGGGTGCCTGTAACTAGGGGGCGTTAAAACATAATAAAGGGAGCTGTAGGGATCACACTGATTACAGACTAGATTGTACCTGGGTCTTGATCAAATACAGATTTACACGGAATCATAAAGAACAGATAATGTTTATATATATTAATGTTAATTCTTCAAAAAATTCATAAAAAAGTTAAACAAATTATGTCCTACAACTTATAATACTGCACAAACTGATGCCAACACAAATGCAAATCTGTCGCATTCTTTGCTCACAAAACCTGGCACAGACTCTTTGTTATTGCCAACTTCCAAACTGCCTTTTCTCTCAAAAAAAGAATTTAGCAAAATGTCTTTGAAACTCTCCAACATGGCCTGAAGAGTCTCCTCAGCACAAAGTGATCTTTGAGGTTCTAGGTTTAGTCTAGGTTTGGTCCTCAGCCTTCTCATTGGGACTCACACAACTCCTGCTGCAGGTTTCACACAGTTTGAGAGATCCCCAAGGCTGAAGAGCATTATGGGATGTTCAAGTAACAGATGTAGACAATGAACTATCTCCTTTGCAAACAACAAATGATCCTGTTTAATTATCAATGTATCAATTCAGTGAGAAGATAGATAGATATTAGACCTGAGATTGGCTTTGTGGCATCCAGTCCTGGTCCCAGATGGTCCGGTCCTGGTCCCAGATGGTCTGGTCCTGGTCCCAGATGGTTAGGTCTGTCAAAAACGTTGTAATTCTCCTCTGACGCCATGGTGGAGAAACTATGATAGTATTGTGATCGAGCAAACTATTTCAAAGATAAACAATCAGATTTCTATCACACTTTAGAATCACAACACAAGTAATTGTTTTGGTAACCATAGAAACCAGCAGCACTTTGTCCAACCAGGAAAGTTTTATCAGTTAACTTGGTACTGCATGAGTTAAGAAAAGTACTCTGAAACGCTGGTCAAAGGCACTATATTGTCAACATTATTAATTTAATTGTTTTTTATATATTTATTGTCATTATTCATGGGTGGCAGCAATACGCTTTTCACTGTAGCCATAGCTGCCCTGAGGCACACTGACAGAAGCGATGCAACCAGTCTGTGCCATCGGCCTTTCTGAACACGCCCAACCATTCGCAAAGACATCAGACGCATTCTCGCCAATATGGGTGACACAAGACACAACAACAGTATGGTACTTTCCAGCCACCGCCACCCCACTCGTGTTTACTTAGGTCTCCCATCACAGTACTTCCCTGCTTAGCTTCGGGGATTTGACAGGATCAGGCTTTCACATGCAGGTGGTACCAGACTGCTGATTTTAGCTGTTTTCTGAAGACTCAAGTCAAATCAAACCATAATTTATACATCCATGTTCAAAAACTATGAAAATGTCACATGGGGAAAGGAAGAAAAAGGGAACCCAAAATACAGGAAATATTTTATCAAAAATGTAATTTGATAAAATAAATCCAAGGTGAAGTCAAAACACAAAAACTCCAGAACTGAAAATATAGACCAGACAAATGTGGACAACAAGGACGGACGAGTGGGGAAAAGCACAGATAAATACACACAGAGTATATATACACACAGAGTATATATACACACAGAGTATAAATACACACAGAGTATAAATACACACAGGGTATAAATACACACAGAGTATATATACACACAGAGTATTAGGGGTGTGACGATATATCGATTTTTCGATATATCGCAATACTTTCTCCCGCGATTCGATTATCAATATGCCTTTGCCAAGTATCAATATCGATTTAGAAAAAAAAAAAAAAGATTTTTTTTAAAAACTTTTTTTTAAAGAGTATTTTTCTTTTATTTATGTCATGCCATAAATTGGCATATTGTATATTTCTGACCAATATATCAATAATTGTCATATCGTGATAAAATCGTTATTGTGATAAAATCGTTATCGTGATAAAATCGTTATCGTAATATCGTTATCGTGATATTATTGTTATCGTGAGCTTTGTATCGTGTATCGTATCGTATCGTGAGGTACCCTTAGGTTCCCACCCCTACAGAGTATACATACACACAGAGTATATATACACACAGGGGACAGAGGTGCATCACGAGGGCGGGGCTAATAATCATTAAGACGAGAAGAAAACTTAAACTACAAGAGAATAATACAGTCCAATAAAACCAGGTCAAAATAATCCAAAAAGTCCAGTCTAATAAAATCCTTCATAATTTCACAAACTGTGGTGTACAGTCCCATTCCAAACGTCTCCACATCAGAAGCCTGGGTACGTCCTGGGTGTACAGTATACAGTACTGTTAAAAACTACAGCTATAGTCACACTTTGTGGTTGCAGATTTGTACAGAATGACTGGGACACCTGGAGGAGGTCGGCAGCTGTTCACCAACAGCAGCAACTGGCCTTTGTGGAAATACTCAGAACACGCACACACACACACACACACACACACACACACACACACACACACACACACACACACACACACACACACACACACACACACACACACAC